TGTTTTTTTAAAAACGAAGCATTAACACATGTTAGACTGCACCCCATAAACATAATCAAGCCTAGAAAAAAAACAGTGAACCACCCCTTTAAGTATTTTATTTCTAAAGAATTTATTTTCAGCAAGTCGTAATTACAACATCGTATGACATTGTCTCACATGATGCTCATAAGTTTCTTATAGTTCATAAGTAGTCTTATAGTAAGTTTCTCATATTGTGTTAGTAGCTGATAACACCAAATCAGTAAAAGAATAAAAATTGCACTATGAAAGGTCTCCCTGATTAGCCTGTTTTTGCAATTGCTTAATCTTAATTTGTTTTTCAAAGATTAATCAAAGTCTTATGGGTTTGGAATGACATGAGGTGAGTAAATGATGATAGGATTTTCATTTTTGGGTGAACTATCCTTTTAATTTATATACAATCAGAAAGCTATTAGCTACAGATTTCTTATTATACGGAATCAAATATCCCAGAAGGTTCCAGCCATTAGTGTCACTGGCATTGAGAGGGCTTTTTCTTAAAATTTAAGAATACATCTCCTACCCGTCTTAAATATTTGTCTACAGTACATTCTTGGTTAGGGTCCAACCAGGGAAGGATCTGGGACAACACCAAAACCTCTCAGAATGCATAACGTATCGGGTTATATGCCCTAACTACTGTGTTGTTAAATCCCACCAGGTATCCTGACGGCAGTGGGGGACGATTTTCCCGAGAGAGGCGCAACGTACGGAAGCACCTCGTCATTCTCAAAAGCTACAGTGGGGCGGGGGAGGGGAGCATTCATCATAGTCCTGTTAGCCCTGTCTGTCAGTCTCTCCATTAGTCCTTCAGTCTCATATGATAAGGGGTGAGGGCCTCTCGTCATGGAGTTTACGTGGACCGTGAGGAACGGATCCCCCTGTGCTGTCAATCAAAGCTGAAACCGGCCAACGTTTTGTTTGCTGATGCCAAAACTGGCAATATCGGTTGCAGGATAGTTTGCGACCTGGATCGTGAAACATGTATGGATCTATTAAAATTTTACAGACCAAAGAAATACGGGCAAATTTCTGTGTGGAAGGATTTCCAATATGAACCCGAATACACACATCAGCTGCTTCAGCTTCCACAAACGCAAGCAAAAACACACATACCTGAGCTTTGTGAGGAGTTTTTCCAACCGAGCACACACAAAATGGACAACAAAGACGTTTGCGACAAAACTGTTGACTTTTCTTTGATTGTAGGTCTGCTGCCATTGTTGTGATTTGGACTGAAATCTGTCAGGATTTGGAAACAGCGAACGTGGCAGGGGATGTGTCGAACCGAACATTATCTCCCTGACCTGAAGAGACTAGTGCAGACTTGCGCTTCGGGAGAGACCATCCTATGTATTTTCAGAGTCATAAAGTTATATATATATTTAACAGTTTTATATGATGTACCTTTGTAGCAAACCTTATTTAACACTGACAATGTGATCCTATTCATAAAGGGTGAATTCAAAACAGTCATGTCCTGGAAAGTTATTTACGCATTGCTTTCTTCGCAAATGAACATAGAAAGGAAAATAGTGTACTTGTGTATTTGTGAGTAAACTTTTGTTTTGTATCAACATCGACAATATACACACACAAAGCAACTGTAACCCACCTTGACAAGGTTATATACATCAGTATACGGCTATGGGTCAAATGTGTTTTACCGCAGAGATTGTACACTGGCAAATTCATCTTATAAAAACTGTTTATGTGTCAGTCCTTCTGTGATATCTGTCATATCGAGACGGTCACCCCATTAAGATAATGGCCCTTATGAGATAATGGCCCGTCCGCCACAACGAGCGCCGTGTCCTGCGTGGTTTCTCTTAGACCATTACTCTGCCCTTGTTGGCCCCTCTCCTCCTCTCTCAGCGCCGAGCCTGTGGAGGAATGCTGCTGTCAGCCAGGCTTCAAGCTTCATTTAACATCACTAACAGCCTGCATTACACACGGCGTCTCTCAGCTTCAGCCGCAGTGCCCCACAATATCACCCCCCTCACGGCCCGGCCCAAAAGTAGCCGGAGTGTTTATGAGGGTTTGAAGGAGAATGATGTTGGCTTTATTGAGGCTTTTAATAAGATCTTAACAACTTGCATTAATCATTTACTTCAGTTGTAGGTCGAAAAAAATGTCCCTTCATACTTAAACCTGAAGTTAAATATGCTAAGATGCGAAAATACATTCTACTTCAGTTTAATATGCAAAGAAGGTAAGCCATTTGTAGGCTGATTCCCCTGTGGTGTAAACACTGTGACTGTGTTTTCAAAACATTTTTCTGTTTAAGAATCCTGACCAGCCCAACACCGCAACGGTGGCTCGACCAATGATGTGAGTTTGGGTGGAGCTATTTGTTTGAATGTTGTTGGTTTTTATTGTCGCTATTTAGAACGTAACTTCAAAATCAGTAAATGAGTAACATAATATGAAACAATACTGAACACCATACTTTAAACTAAAGTGTGTTTTTTTATACACTAATCTTTGTGGCATTTTCAAAACATTTTTGTTGCTTGAGAATCCTGACCTGCCTGACATAGCAACACCGGCTCAACCAATGGGGTGAGTTTGGGGCGGAGCTTTCTGTTTTTGACCAATAGCAAAGAGTGCTCAGGAAATCTTGTCTGAATGCTGCTGGTTGTCTTGTTTTTGAGAAGGTCTTAAAAACTTATAACTGAAGTAAATGACTAATATATGGTTCCGTTCAAAAGGTTGGGGTCAGTAAGATTTTATTTTATTATTTCTATTTTTAACAATTAATACTTTTGTTCAGCAAGGATGCATTAAATTGATCTAAAGTGACAGTAAAGACATTTGTTTCAACTATTTGCATAATAGGAATAGATGACATGACACTTTAAAATGTGTTCAAACAGAAAACAGTTATTTCAGATTGTACTGAAACTTTACTGTTTTTACTGTATTTTTGATCAAATAAATGCAGCCTTTGTGAAAAAACATTACCAAACTGTGTAAACATTGTAAAAATCCTGACCAGCTTGCCATAATAACATTGGCTCAACCAATGCGTGTTCAGAAAACCTGTTTGAAAACAGTCCTTATTTTTGCAGCTCTGTTTGGTTTGATCTTCGACTGACTGTAGTTATTACAATGAGGGCTACTGTAGATTATGGGTTTACTCTGTGGCATAATTTGATTAATCCAGTTTAAATATTCAACAGTAAGTGTTTAGTCATCTTTTTTTGTCATTTTGCTGATATCTGTTTTATCCACTGAAAATGTCATTGCGAACAATTAGCCCTTCTAAGAAAACCTGCAAGGAAGGTGGCGGCGAGGCACGAAGATGATTGGCTAAGGTAAAAAGGCTCCCTTGAGTTCATAATCAGGGTTTGACATGTCGCACTGAACCATCTCAAATTCCCATACAAATCTTACCGGCTTGGCTCACTCATCCATGGACTAAATGAGAAAAATTACAGACTTTGCCAGTTCCCTTAAAATCCCATTTACATTCTGTCAGCTCCTATTAAGGACGAAGATCGTGACAATGGGCAAAAAATATGCATGGGAGAGAAATCCAGCCCCAGTCCATCACGGTAATTCCGACCCTGCTTACCAAGACGCCACTTGATTTCTCCTCAATTTGGGCTTCCCTTCCCGCAAGCTGCACACTAAACAGGCCCTGATAAGCACCCTGCCTGAAAACCAGCTTTAACAATATCATACAATTACGAGCACCAGTAACAGTATCAGCCGTAGATTAGAGGCACTAAATGCTGAGCTATGAATAAATTAGCCACAGTTTTTCGCCTAGGCGGAAAGACCCGAAAAAGAATGAAAGGACAACAAGGCAGGCGCTTTGATTTTCATAGCTCTGCGCCTCAGCTGATAGTTTTCTCCAAATAATTTTGAATGACACAGATTATAATAGATTTCCGAAATAATCCGGATTATCGCAGTCATTACAGCCACATTTGATCAACGAAAAAAGTCTTTCTACGGTCACACATCATTATGTGCGTTATGGCTCAAAGCGGGTGGCGATCTTATTTCAATTAAAAATTGGCATGCCTATCAACGTGATGCCTCTGTTTACTGAACTCTTTAGACAAAGACGTCATCTGCAATTCAAATGATTTTAATCAGTAGACACAGAGGCACAACATTGATAGGATTGCTTCATTCGTTTAGCAAAATGTCAAAGCAAATCATAGGGCCTCAGCTGTGTTTATGAACAAACTCCATGTTTCAGATTTGCAGGAGATTAAAAAGAGATGAAAAGCAGTGAATGTGTAATTGTGTGAAATCTAAACCCAGGACCCTTTTTATAGTGCAAATTTCTGATTAAGGCAAAACCGAAGGAGAACTCCCCGCAATTATCGATAATTGCGAGTGGGCAATTATGTATTAGCATGATAAAAACAAGTGCACACAAAGGAAGACAACTTTGCACCTGAGATGAGCGCAAGTGGAGGGACGCGCTTTGCCCACGGGGTCGGCGGACGTTGCTCGAGTTCCTCCAGGCCCATGTGGTGAATTATGGTCTGCCCTTCAAGCAGTCACACACGCCCGCCATTAATCATCTCTGGCCAGTGTCCCCATTCTCAAAAGAGGTCTGAAATGTGTTTCCAAACCTTACTGAGACCTGGTTGTCACCCTACCTGTCCACCCTCAGCCCCTTGGGGTCCTTCACACGAGACCATAAAGATGAAGCGGAGTCAGTGACTTTGTTAAAGGAACACTCCACTATTTTTGAAAATAGGTTAATTTTCCAACAATACTGCAGCAAATTTCCTTGATTATTACGCTGGAATGAAAGTATAGTTCCTAGCCATATCGGCCTAGAATATAGCAACTTTTCATTTTCCGTCGGTCTTAGTACACGATGTAACTACAGAAGAGTCAAGTTTTAAATAGGAAAAATATAGAAACTCTTTGGTCATTTTTGAGCGAGATGCTAACGGTCTAATCAGATTCAATGATCTATGCTAAGCTACAGCTAAAAATGCTACCGCCAGACCCGGAGATCGGCTGAATGGATTCGAAAACAGTAAAACTCAATGGTTTAACTCTTAGGGGAGTTGGAAAATGAGCCTATTTTCAAAAATAGTGGAGTGTTCCTTTAAGGGAGATACATACTCCTCACGTTGCCCGGGTAATTTTTGGATTCGGGCGAGTACTTTGAGGGTCACGTGGGATGAAGTAATGTTTTATAAGAATTAATTGAATTGCTCACTGAATACACGGTCAGCATAAGCAGAACCGATGAAGCATGAATGCAGCGTGGAACAATGTGACCTCCTGCGGGACAGTCTCTAAACGAGAGTCCTGGAGTATCCTACAATAACAAATTATGTCTAAAGACTCTCCTTCTCTCATTTAAGCATGACGTGTTTGCCATTGTTACTGAACTGAAGGTCAAAGATATGTCAGTGTGATTCAGTTTCTGAGAGCTAATCTTTAGGATGGATGCAGAATTCCCTAAATGTTGTTACATATACTACCCTGAATTTTACAGACCTGGAGGGCAGGCCGGTGGGTTTGTGAGGCCTCAGGCAAGATTAGAAAAATGTCTTAAAAGTTAATTAAAAAAAATAATTCTGTGCATAACTAGACGTATAAATATGTTTTAAAGTAACAAGGTTAAGAATCAACTCTTTCAGTCTTTACATGACTTTCTGCATAGGTGTAGATTGCAATCAGCAATAGTGCATTCAAATCATGTCATAATGATTGAGTTTCAGTGCAGAGTTTCAGATTATTTGATCTCAATCATCATTATATTGCATTGCATTAAATGTTTTGCCTCCACAATAAAAACTAGTTTTGATCATAAAACTGAATATTAAAATATCATCTTACGAGGACATATTACTGGGAGATATAGTGACAGCTGATATTTTTTTATGATATTTTATGCAAGTAGTTTGTTTCACTGTTAAAATCTCATTGATTTACATTACAAGCCAGCTAAATGTCATCTTACTTTTTGGCTACTTAAATAAACAACAGCTGCAACAAATTGCATATTTTTGCTCAGTTTGGATCTGAGGTGTTGTTTCCTCCTCGAGTATGAATTCCATATTCTCACTGTATCTTTGGCTACTATATGAGCCATAAAAGCCTGATGTATCAAATATGATACTCAAAAAACACATGCAAACTTTTTTTAAATTTGTCTAAAGGTTTACTACATTGTTTTTTAAAAATATTTTCTGACTATTATTTCATGTCAGCTTTAAAAAGTATTATGTAATTATTAATGCTGACAGTATAATTAGTTGGTTAAAATAAAATACATTTTCCGTTCCACAAAGAAGAGAATAGTGATGCAACAAGCCAGAAAACTCTCATTCATTTTGCTGATTTATGAGGGGAAAGACTTGCTCTACCAAACAACATTTCCCTGATAAAATACACAGAATGAACATCAATTATACACCCAATGTGCACCTTTAGTGCTTTATTATGTTGCATTAAAGCTAAAACCAAATTTCTGTAAGTAGGACCTTAAAAACAGCTTAATACCTTGCACATATTGCCTACAGGTCACGACAGCTTTGATGATCCTAGCTGAGGACACTGCAGACGTTTCTACAGAAACAAGCCAGAAACCTTTCATTACAGTATCTTTGTCAGAGGTACAGCTCTCAGCGGTAATGCACTGCGCTACAAAACAGCATCCTCCGGTGTCAGCCGTGCAACAGCCAAACTCTGAAGCGCAAGGGCCGCCTGCAAAATAGGATTATAGAGATGCACACCAGCAAGGCAGCGTTCCTCTGACCGCAAGCCATTCTGAGCTGAATCTACCAAAACTGATTGATTCACGTCTATGATTCACCAGACACCTGAATGTCACCTTTCCACATGGCTGCCATTCACTGCAGAGTGATTGAAAGAGAGAGCAGAGGTGAGAGGGAAC